TAATGTATCGACTACATTGTGCAATATTCTCCTTGCACTGGAAATATGAAGTGTTTTCTCTGGGGCAAGTGATTGTCCTTGTAAAGCAGTGCTGCTGCTGGATAAAGGCAGTGGGGCTTTAAAAGGAATACCAGTACTGATATTCTGTATCTCATAGCAATAAAAATCATTAGTGTTTGAAAAATCACTAGTCCAGAAAACTAACTTTATGAAACTTACTCTGCAAAATAAATAATCAAGGAAAACACCAGGAGTTAAGGTGATGTATGTAAATGTGTTGTTCCATGTTCTCAAGCAGAGGCAGTGACAGTATCCCTATTACAAAAACACCCAAATGCTGAATGAGTAATGAGCGCCATCGCTTTTTTCTCTCTTTGCTCATCCCTCTCCTCAGCTTTTATGATTTGGTTGTGTGTGTGTGTGTATGTGAGTCGTTTCAAACAACTTTATGATTCATTTACAATTCACTGACCTATCTCAGCCACCAATTTATTTTCAAGTCCTTGAAGGTAAATCTGTCACTGACTGGTGATGTGTATTGAGATATTCCCTTTAAAGGGCAGAGTGGAAATTAAATACTGTAGATAGATAGATAGATAGAACAAAAGTATGGAAATAACAGTCTGAAAACAAAATCATTACAATCACAATCTCTGTCTCTTCTGAATAGTACCCCTTTGGAGTTAGAGTGTTAGTTTGGCAGACAGACATACAGCATATTTTATTCAGAAGCCATTCACAGAGTTCTCTCCATGAAAATTACTATTCAGCACTGACAGAGAGTGAGAATTCATTAGAACGTCTATCTATCCCGATTATCCTTTTTCCTTCGCACTTTGTAACCAATTTTTAAAAAACATCATATATACATTTTAAACTAGTGGAATGATTTCTATTTAATTAGACTTCATGTGGTCATTTATATGTTTAAAAATGTTTCAATTTAAGGCTTAAATTAAAAAAAGATTGGATGTTAATGTGGAAAGAAGATTCAATGTATTGTTCCAACAGCATCAAAGTCTGACTAGGAGACACTTTTCTGGCTGCACAGTAACAGTGTTGGTTGGGATGACACCTGTCTTATTGATCTCCAGATGCTGTGTTCTAACATCAGGTCATTCAGAGTCACGGCGGGATTGGCTCTTTAGCCGCTGATTCAGCCGTGTCTTTCAAAGCCAGTTGCCATTACTGCAGCTCTGTGCCTGTGTTCTCGTATTCACTCTAACAAGGCTCACACAGACCACTATAAAAGTGTTGGGTGTCTATTAATAACAGGAAGCATCTGCTGTCTGTAAACACATCTGGCTTTGTTGTTATTTTGCTGCACTTTTAAAAGTATCTCTGGGACACTGATTGGAGGAGGTGGCAGGAACAGATTACATTAATGGCATGAATCTGAACTGCAGGCTCTGTTAGTTAATGACACTATAATATAGTTAGTGTATTTTGTCCAAATATCCTTGAAGAGGTGAGAAGCCACTTGATTATAAAACAATATATGTATGATATATTTAACTTTAAATAACTGAAATGCTCTTTGACTTTGAGAAGATATCAAGCTACTCATAAAACACATTACTATATATACAGCATTATGTGTGGAAAACACTTCTTCCTCCTGGGCTAATTTTGTTGGATGCATAAAATTTTGTTTATTTAGAATTGTAAGCACCTTTTTAAATTGCATAAGATGTTGTATACATGTTAAACATGCTTTTTCTACAGGGATCTGAATTTAAAGTTTAGGTTTGAAACTGAGCTCAGAGGTTTTGAACCGGTGGTCCGCAGCCCCCTGCTGGTCCACGAAGGCAGTGCAGGTGGTCCCTGACCATGCATTCAATAAAGTGCCTTCACTGTAGACAACACTATTTTTTTATTTCATTTTGTAAACACATTTCCATCCATCTAATTAAACATGTAGCCTAATAATTAGTTGTAAATAATCAAATTCATGCAAATATATAGCATTGCTTGTGCCCATCCGGACTATCCACCCCACAACAATGGTCTTCAGGTTACTTTTTAATCAGAGTGGTGGTCCCTGGGTCACAATTAGTTGAAAAAGCATGACATTTAATGTGTAATGAACTGGAGCCAGTAGTCAGTTAGCTTACTTTAGCACAAAGACTAGAAAACAGGGGGAAAGAGCTGCCTACCAGCATCTCTAATGGCCAATAGTTAACAAGTATATTTAATCTGCAAAAATAACTCAGTGTAAGAACAACAACTCAGTGTCATGTGCTGTACATTTTGCTGTCAGTTGAGATTCCAGGAAGTTACTGCTCCCAGCCATGAAATATTAAGGCACAACACCCCACCAGCCCCACCAAACTGCAAAACGTTGTTTTAACCTTTCAGACTCTTCATAAGCAAACAAGGAGTTTCATTTCAATTAGCGGTGCTGGTAGCTGCATTTGTTATATGTGTAATATAAATATAGCATCTGATCTGTCAGACTGGTTGGTGAGAGCAGCGCAGTCAGCATGAAACAGTTAAAGTCCTTGCAGCTTCTCTGATACACTCAATCTGAATCTGGGTTTACACTTGAGAATGTTATTGATGGAAGGCAAAGTGGTGAACGTGATGGACATGGCTGTTAAGCCGCAGGCTATCAATCAACCCCAGCTGATTCTGAGTGAGATCCACCATGTGCTGTGCTCTGGCCCAGGGTGAAGGAAGAAGGCTCAACTATTTCTTGCTGTCTCAGTGTGGGCACTAGCAGGCTAATCACAGAGATGCACAGCGTGTTACCTGCAGCCCCAGAACCTTGTCTGTCTCCTTGTGTCTGAGGCAACAGACTGGACCAACATACTGGCTGAAGCTGGATAATGAGGCCTGCACCTGCCCAGCCAATAGGCCAGCCAGCCAAACACACACAGAAAGAAAAATAAAAACTGCTGCAATAATAGGCAATTAGCCTTTTGCTGGCAAACTGCTGAGCTCCACTTCCTGCTCTTCTCACTACAACCTGCCCTTTGATTTGAATTAGAGATATGGCCCCAATTCCCAATATTATGAAAAACTACATTGTGATTCTTGGTTTCAGTGATTTCTAATATCCATAACCACCCAGGCTGCAACAACATGATCGACCACAGACTCAGTAGGTCACCCTGTTATCTTCTACAGCTCTCCTGCTCCTCATAAGAACCGATAAGGATTGATTCAGCTATTTATCACAAACCTGACATTTATGAGAGCAGTGCTTGCCAAGCCACCATAACAATATCTGACTCGAACACACTGCTGGGAGAATATGAGCTTTCCATATCACACTGTATCCCATCAACAGCAATACTCTCACGCAAATAAATGACCTTATTATTCATTCATTCAACCTTGGAGGAAATGAGCTACAGAGGTGGTAAGAGCAGCAATGGGTGTAATAATGGAGCACCAACCTCAGACTGATGTTACAAGCAAACAAAGCTACTACTTGAATGTCACCAGTGACTAAAAAAAACAATACACCAAAGTTTCAAGAGTGCTCCAATACCATCTAGTGGTGACTTCTAAGCACAAGGCTTTACCAATACTGAGCAAGATAAAAATCAGTTCATCCCACTCACACAAACCTATCACCTGCTGCGGTTGGTGCCACCCAGAGGGTGCTATAAATCACTGCCATCCTAAACAAAAACTGAACTTTCTCCACTGCTAAACAACACTGAAATCTTTATGTTTATCTTTATGTTTCATATCCATCGCCCTCTAATGCTTTTAGGTATTTAAGATGGTGTCATCATAACCTTGTAGGTGCTAGCAAGAACTCAGTTTAAAGGCAGTGCTAGTATGAAACTCCAAATCAACCCACTCTGCTTCGCCCAGTGATCCCTCTCTCTGCTCCACGCTGCCCATCTCTTTGGTTATTTGTCATTATAACATTACAAAAAATGAAAATGCAGCAAAACTTACTAATCAAACTGAAATTATTGAAAATCTGTGATGGGCTAGAAAAGAAGCAGCATGGTGGAACAGTGATTAGCTCTGCTGCCTCACAGCAAGAAGGTTCTCAGTTCAAGTTCTGGCGAACTCACAGTTTTTTTGTGTTGAGTTTGCATGTTCTCACTGTGCCCACAGTCCAAAGACATGCAGCTTAGGTTGACTGGCAACTCTAAATTGCACATAGAAATGAGTGTGGGTGTGTCTGGTTGTCTGTCTCTAAGGCTGGCAACCTGTCCAGGGTGTACCCCGCCTCTCACCCCATGTCAGCTGGGATTGGCTCCAGTCCCCCACGACCCTATACAAGAAAAGTGGTATAGATAATGGATGGATGGTTAGAGAGGTCAGTCCCACTCAGAACCTTTTAGAAGCTAAAATCTCTGCACTGCTGCCAGTGCTGGCTTTGACAGCACCTCTCCACATTAAGACAAGTTTTGGACCAGATTTCCACAACAAAAATATTTCAATGAAAAAAGTTACATACTGCAGCTTTAAGTCAGGAAGAGCTGCATTTTTGTACAGGAACGACAGGCTGTCATCAAAGGTGCACTTGGTGTAACAGTACTACTTTAGAGAGGATAAATGGCAGGTGTGTTTGTATCCTGCACTGGACAAAAAAACAACACCTACTGTACATATTTTGGGAAAGAACACCATCTACAGGAAAAACACAAGAAATACACATAAACACTTGGAAAGCCAAAACTCGTGAGGAAGTTCAGTGTAACTCAGGTGCCACAGTAGGTCATTAATTATTGGGTTGGTGGTTTGATTCCCAGATTCTCCTGCCTGTCAGCATGACATTGCTTAAATGTTTCTTCAGAAAAGCATTTTCAAAATGAGTGTAATAAAAGCACATACAATGTGCAGTTTTAAAAATTTGCAACTTTTAGTGCCAAAATAAGTTAGCCAATACTTCTGAGTGCTCCTATAGAGGTGTGACACATTTTCCTCCAATAACAGGTAGATGCATCACACTGTCTCACATTTGCTATTGACAGGTTTGATTAATAAGGCCAGAGAGATATTTCATAAAATTCTTTATTCATAAACTTGATGCAAGTTTATAAATTACTTTACATGGTCAAAATCACCCTTGCACTGGAAAATAATGAAACCAAACCAAAGCATGCTAACAGTGCACAACTTTATAACCCAGCCACCGCAGTTAATGAAGCAAGGTAAACAACCCAGAACCAGGCTAGCTCAGACCGCAGACCAGTATGTTGCTGGCCAAAGCAGAGGGTTTTGTTAGTCAGAAAACATTTGTTGGTGTGAGAAGAGCTGTCATCCAGTGCTCAACAGACATTAGCACATCTTCCTTCTAAAAGGTTTGGTTAAAGACATATGCTTACAACTGCTTTGATGGCACTCTAATCTGAACTGCTAATTCTTTTGGGAATCCAAGCAGGTAGGATGTCCATGTGTCTCATATAGTATCTGATGTGGTTCAATAAACAATGCACAGTTTGAACTTGCCCTGTGCACTGAGGACACAAGTAAACAATTAATAGGGAAAAAAAGAAAAGGATATGTCTAGTCTTACTTTTTACCATCCAACCACTCTTTGCCTTCAGTAGCTAGGGGACACACCCATTGACATACTGACATGCTAAATCCAGTAATATCAAAGAGACTGGGTAAATGTGTCCCATCATCAAGCGCAGGGTGAGAGCGAATCCTTATCATTCAAAAAAAAAAAAAAAGCCTTGCTTAATAACTGTCAACCTCAATTCCATTCAGAAAATCTAAGTGTGTGCAACTTGACAGCAGAACACACTGCAAATGCCTACCAGTAAAACAGGAGCGGCATTTTAAAACGGCCCCCAAAAAAGACTGCCACATTCAAGCTTATATTTTATTACGATATTCTGAAGCAACCCTTTGCAAAGTCGAGTGTGCAGTATGTATTCCTGAGTTTGCTTCTCCAGAGAACGCGGGGTGGGCTTGACGTGACCAGAATGAAGTGATTAGTACATTATCAATGGCATCATAACAGCTAACAAACATGCCAATGATCCAAAGTCATGTTTACATTTTTCTTGTGATGAAAACACCTGTTATAGTCTGAACAAGTGTCAGACGTGTGCTCAATGTGAGTGAGCTGTGCGCTTTGTACCCATCTTGACCTGTTTTGAAGATACTGTGACTGAGGTTAGTATCACTGAGGAAACTCTAAACTAACTCCAAAATGAGGAATGACTTATGGATTAGCATAACTAAGCTTTCTATATGCTGGTTTTCAGGACAATATACTCAAAACAACGCAAGTAATCACACAATAGAACACCCACAACAAACGTGTAACTGCATTAATTGGAATGCTCCACACAGTTTTCTGCATATTATTCACATTACATCAAAGACCCAGTGCGCTGAGGGGTACAGCAGTGCTGAGAGTGGTTAGGAATAGTAACCCGAGAGGTCATGGGACAAGCTGGGTCCTTCCTGTGGCAATTCTGAAATAATATTTATCAGCAAATATTTGGAAACTAGAACAGACTCCAGTTGATCTATCCAAGTGGGAAGCCAGAATGGTCTAGAATATTGCTGTGGATTTGAATCTCAAGCTGCTTTTTAGGGAAATTAATAATAATAATAAAAGCCATGAGGTCAAAGAAAAGTTAAGGTAAAGGTCTTTTTTTTCCCCAAGACTGCAGGAGTGGCAAAGTGCCCAGTTACAAGAACTAAACAGGTGACTACACTAATGCTGTAAGATCAATTTTCACCAGTACAACAAATCTCCATCAGACTGTCTTCACTGCATAGCCTTACTGAGGTTCATCTGGTTTGAGTGATCAGATATGAACAGCCAAACCTGGGGAGCGCCAGGAACACCCGTGTGTATGCTATTATTGTTCCAACAACTGTAGCTAAGAGGTGCAATGGTACTGTCATTGTTGCCAGTAACATGAGAATTAGAAATCAAAAAGGAAAAACAAAATAAAACAAACAAAAACAAAAAACAAAACTGCAGTAGTCATTAAGCTTACATATAAACATGGTGAACTTTTGTTTCCTTCTGCAAGAGTATCCATGAAGTAAATGTTTTCTTATTCTACATGAGTCTTGAGAAGTTGCAGTGCCCTGGCTGTTAAAAGTCAGGGGTATACAGTAATACAGTCTCCGCCCAGCCAAAGACCCAGACAAGGTTACCATATAAACAATTAAATCCTTCTGCAGAAATACAAATTTACATGTTTACATGTGGAGTTCAAATCAACCACATTACAGTGTGATCCAATCCAAACATGGCCTTGCTTTGCCTGGTCATGTTTATTGTGCTGCCTGCCCAACCGCACACCAAAGCTCTCCTTCAGGGAGTGGGCCAGCTGCTGGTTGTCATGATGACAGTGGTCTCCACCTTCAGAACTCAGCAGAATGCCGTTCAGTACGGGCTGTGCCGTCCAAGCTGCATAAGTCTCCTTATCTTCCTCCCCACTTCAGGGCTTCAAGCTTTAAAATAGAAGAGGTTTGAAAGCAAGCTAGCCTCAGAAGCATGTTATTCCAGAGGAAGGATCTTGGCATTACAAAGATAACACACGAGCACAATATTACACAGGCTGTCCATGGAGAGAAAAGGCGATGGTTCTTCCCACCACCGGCATTTTAAACATCCGTCCCAGCCAGCACAGCATCATGTCAGGGAATGTCACATGCCGCTCTCAGATCCAGTCTCTGGCCAGATAGGCAATGTCCAGTGACTAGAGCATCAGACTGCCACAGATAGAGGATAAAGCCATGCCACACCTTTCAACTCACAGCCAGCAAGTAACCTTGGCATGCTCAATGCCTAAACCCAAGGGTAGGTTTGCGCATTTTAAGTCCATCATTTCCTGGAGTACACGATGCCAATGTCACAATGGAAAAATGAGATTGTATCAGACAACAAATAAAGACATAAATATCTGAAGAGAAGACATCCTTTTCAGTAGCTTGGATGTAAATTTCAGGTGTGTGTGTCCGTGTTCATGTGCTAGTTTCTGGGTGGCCACTGAATGAGAAATTTGGTTTGTAGTTCAAACTTTGATATAGAGAACAAAATGGTTTGCGCAAAAAAAAAGAAAAGAAAAGAATCTAAGATGTGGTCCCAATGCAGGAAAGAGACGGGTCTTTTTAACCATCCTCCTTTGGGGGTGTGTACCAGCCTAAGGGAAGAAGCAGACAGAGAATAAATACACAGTAAAAAAAAAAAAACAGTCACCAGATTTCTACCACCAGTGGAATCAGGGTTATATGCAGATGATTCCTGCCTCAGTGATGTGCACACATAGGTGTCAAAAGGAAAAAATCTGTATCTCAACTGGAGGGATGGACTCCATCCTACCAAAAGATATTGCCTTAATGTGTGCTACTGTTGGGTCATTAAGACATTTGAACATCAATCATGCATAAGAAAGAAAGAGCACTGAATCACAAGCATGTTGTATTTAAAGTTTGTGCATCCCTGTTATCCATATCCTTACATAGTTACAAAAAGCACATAGTGTGTAATATTGTGGACTATGTGCATGTTTGGCGCATACACAACCATCCAAGCACCAGTTTTATCTCGGCTGGAATGCATGGGGGGGATTTGGTTTCAATAAATAAGGTCAGTAATGCACTCTGTATGAAACAAGAGACAAAAAAACTCACCGTTCTTTTCATGGATCTGAACCAAGGATTTGTAGGACTGCTGTGCTCTGGCAAGATTGTACTGGTTCTGCATTAAAAGATGAAAATGAAGTCAACCTTAGTGGGCACTGGGGTTATGATGACAGTACAGAACAAAAAAAAAAAGAGCAGTGATAGCTAGTTTCTACAAGGAAACGAAAAGCTTATCCCCCATTTCCGATTTCAAGAACAAAATGCTGTGTATAGTGTATGATAATCAATTCTGCCCTTGTTTAACCACTTGTATCAGACGGTTCTCACACACACACACACACACACACACACACCTCGTCGTTACCATTCACATAAGACCTGGCTCTGCACTTGTAGTTCTATACACATGACTGCTAAATACAGAGTAACAAGGCTATGCAAAAATGTATATGATGGAGATTCACCTCATGCAAAGTGTAGCAATGTTTATAGCTTCATACCTGGTGTCAGACAAAGTCTGGCTATAGCTTTGCTCAATCTAACAATTCATCCACTGCACAGTGCTGTCTTCACTATCTTAAGTAGGACTAATCTTTCATGATTCCTTCAAACTAAAAATCATGGCAGTTGCAAAGACACTGTAACACAGAGATGCTATGTCTGCATGACTCAAGACGTCGTCACTGTATTAGGTGTGCACTGGATATTGTACTGCCAACTAGCTTACTGCAGTTGTACAACACTTTCAGTCTTATCTGTCGTACCTCAGCATTGTCAGCAAATCATAAATTATGAGCCACACTTTCCTCTTTTTGTCATTTCTTTCCATAGGTTGGCCGGTGTCACTACTTGTTGCTGTGGAAACCTGGCTCTTACATCTGAGTTCACCTTTCACAGATGTGTAAACAAACACAAGTCGGATTTTTTTTTTTTTTTTAAATCAGATCCAGGACCACTTCCATATGTGGTCCTTCATCTGATTCATATCCAATATTTGGCCATGCCAACTACTGTCACAGTGATCAGACTGGAATTCATGCTTTTTTTTTGGCACTTCACTCCTCTGTGCATGCACAAATCGCCTGTAGTCAGCCCCTCACACACTGGTAAGAATACACATTGAGGAGTCAGCGAAGAGATGAAGACATTTCACATTTGTTGAACATTTATGAGGAAGCTTCTAATCAAGCTAAACAAAGAACATGTGGTAACTGAGTGGTTTTTGAGGAAATCATCCAGTTAGATTGTCACACTAATGACACTGTTATTCTTGTATGCCTGCAGCTCACTGTTCAGTTAAAACTGTGCATATGTAGCACTTTAGATCAGCTGTGTTCAAAGTAAAACTGGATACATCACACTCACAAATGTGAATGTGAACCATGAACACAAAAAGATCAGATCTGACAAGATTGAAACTGAGCATTAAGGCCTGTAATGTGAGCAAAGCTTAAGAGAACACAGCAAATTCAATTGACACCAACTACAAACTATAGCACAAAAAGATAAGCAACTACTTTAGCCTTTGCAGTAGTGACTCACAGGGAACCTCCCACCCCACACACCACATAGCCAGCTTTGGCTGCAGAAACACAGCACAACACAGGTCTCCCTTAAGAGCCAGGAAACCAGGCTGCTGGGTCAAGGCACTGCCATCAGTGATCCACATCATTCATTATGTGAAGTGACCACAGTCAAAGGACATTTCCTGACTGGAAATGAAACCTCCAGTGCCTCCTCACTTACTTTGTTGGCTCCAAATTGCACTCTGGCTTTTCCTTTGACTAAAGTGGCATTGATCTGCATGATGACAGACTCAATGGAATAGGCACTGCTCCAACCCTGCAACCAGGAAACCCAGGGTCAGTGCTAACCACATAAAAATACAATCCAAAGTAATATTTAATATTATGCAACACAAATTCACATTATTTTAAAGCTTTGGTAAAAGACACCGGACATACCTGTTTAGTGAGAAGTTCCATGCACAGGGCACCTCCTCCAAGAACATAGCTAAACCAAGAAGAAAGGCAGGAAAAAGATCATTTTTGCCTGTTCTTTGTAGAAAGATTTTTTTTTAAATACAAGGTCATTCACACAAGTTGAAAATGGACAATGTGGATGGAATAAACAGAGAACAGCAACAGCTAAATGAACTCACCCTCCAGAAAGCACAGGAGAAACTACGCGGACAAATGGTGGATCAAAGGGGAAATTATCCTGTGTACACAGCCAGAAAAATGTGTTAATTTACAGCCTTCAAAAACAGCCAAACAGTGTTTCACTCACATTAATACAAAGTCCATTTTACTCACTTTATATGAGAAGTTTAGTAAAATGTAATCCATTCCTTCCTTTTCCTTTAAGACTTGTAAGTCACTATGTAAGGGGCTGTCTGGATCCACACTGTTGGTCATTAAATGATTCAATCAGTTTTTGTTTACAGTGAGATTGGAACAATGAGAAAATAATACATGACACAAGATCCCAAAGATACTTACGTCCTTAGTTTGACGTGCCATTCATACAGGCTGTCGTTAACAAGCTCGACTGAATAGATCCCTTCAAAGGAAACTGATTAAATTAGTGCTCACATCTCCCAGTTCAGGTCTTGAAACAACTGTAATATCTCCTTTCTTTCTATCAACAAAAAAGCAATGCAGTGAGGCAACTGGTACCTCATTCTCACTGTGAGCTAATTCAGCAACAATTATTTGAAGCCTTGTTCAAAGGTGAGAAATTTTTACCAAATAAAACACTTCAAAAAGTAAAAAAAAAAAAAAGTATGACTAATTTTTCAAAGAATACCATTTAGTTTTGTTAAACTGCTGTGGAAAACATGTTTGTATGATCATAAAGTCATTATGAGTTAGGAACTTTTTGAATTCTGCACCACTGAACTCCCTCTCAGATGCCTTCTTTTGATAGTGTATACATTAAGGCTCTCATATCACCATGCTTGATATCCACCAATAATCATCTGTCACATTTAGAGGATAGAACTGATGATTACTGTGTGTGGGGGGTTGTATTTACAGCAAGTGCCTTGCTGGGGAGAGTTATTTGTAACGGTTGCGTTTAAAAAAGAGCAGACCTTTGTGCAGTGTGCATACCTGTTTTGTAACTCTGAGACCTGTAGATCTCTCTAAGCTCCTTCATCAGGCGGTCAGAGGCTTGCACTGAACCAGACACAGCTCCCTGGAAAATACAAAAACAGCAACTGGAATAATAAAGACAAAGAACACAATGCTTTGCAATTCACCATGAGAGTAAACCTGTCATTTGTAATTAAATGTGGGCTGACATCAAAGAGAACAAGACAATATTTATATCTCTATAACCCATGACAGTGTTTCATTGATCCTCAATATGTTCAGAAAAATATAAGACAAGCCAATGAATCATGCACCATTGGTTCTATGCAGGGTTTTCCCCAGTCAGCTCAGGCATCAACTTGGTTCAGGGGTATTGGGCTTTTTTTTATTTTTTTTTATTAAGTATTTGTGGAAGACAGATGGCAGTACTTAAGTGTACTCACAGTTAAAAGTCTATTTGTTTCACCAAAAACCGACATAACTGCTATATGACAGCCAAGAAGAGGACCTGCATCACAGTTTGTGGCTGGTTCTCACACTACACCATAGGAACAGGGAAGAAAACTATTACTGTCAGGTAGGAGAACGGTGTGGAATGCCACACGCCCTCAAATATTAATAGAAGAATGGCTGTGTTCACACGTAACGTCGTTTTAAGTGGTCAGCACCTGTTTTATATAAAAGTAACTAGTTTCCCCAGTAAATCCAACCTAATTTGGTACCTTAGTTACATTAGCATCTTCTTTAGTTGTAAAATAGGCTATATTCGGCTACCTGCTGTTAAACTTCACAAGAATTGCTCCCCAACAAAAAGCTGTACCTCATGTAATCTTTGTGGAGGCTAACCTTACCGATGCCATCACCCCTAGTTGACGGTACAGAGAAATATCCAGAGTCAGATGTTTGATTACCCTGGCAGGCCATTCCTGTTGCCAGCTTACATTTCAGTTTGAGATCAAGTCACTTCTCTGTTATTTTTTAGTGCATATAACTAAATGTTTTTACATTGAAACAAAACGTTTTTCCTAGATTTATGCTGCCTTACAGGGCAGACACTAGGAGAGACCTGAAGATGTGCTATATACTGCACAGGAGCACATTTAGAAACGAGCCACACTCCCTGCTGGGAAATGAATGTATAGAAAGTCTCATCACTTCCTTGTTTCTCAACTTGTCTTTTTACCCCCATTTGTTATTCACAAAGTAGACACTACAAACAAAATGATTGTCTGAGCACAAACATTCTTTATATACAACATGTAAAACTGACAAAACAGCTACCAAAGCATAAAAGTTAGATCCAACATCGACTTATCAACCACAAGCCCCATAAATATGAGCTTTACTGTAGACTTACATTCAAGTGATCCTGCCTCTGGTTCTTTCGGATCTTCTCTAGAATGGCCAGATTCTCCTTTTCAATGCCATCATCCTCAGATTTCTTCCCATCCACAGGCTCCTCCTCTTTCATTTCATAGTGGTCCAAGTCCTCTATGTCCTGTTGTATTGTATTTGACACTTTAGACATTTAAAATTGTTTATAGCTTTCCAGCAATGCATGCAATGACAGACACAGTTGAGGGATCAAAGCCAGCCACTTGTTTGATCACTACAGTTTGTGTAACAAGGGATAAACAAAGTCATATTGTAAACATCCAGGGATGAAACTCAAATCATTAAGCCTTAATCAAAGCCAAAGTAAACATTAAGGTGTCGGTATAGGAGATACAAATAAAAAAAATGTTGCCATACTTCTTAATGTAACTGCCTGAACATGCCTTATTCAAAATGTGTGACTAGCACACCACCACAGACCACATTAGACTAGGGATATCTTACCTCGCCCATCTCTTCTTCCTCCTCTTCTTCAGATGTGACCTCTTCTGTCCCATGCTAAACACATACACCAGAGAAACCAAGCTGCTAAGATTCACTGTGATGACTTTTTTTTTTTATTTACAAAAGACTGCCTGTTAAGTCGAGACCACAGGAAGAGCCTCTTTAACAGCAATGAATACAAATTCATATAAATCACCAAAGCACTCTAATGTGAGCCACTATTCCATTATTAAGCACAAGTGGTCTGTGCATAATTAAACATCTAATTTAAATATGCATGATGTTTCTTAAAAGTAATCAAATACTGGCCAGGCTGTATCATTCCACAGAGAGGACCCTGACATGAGTAAACTAGGAAGCCTTGCCTTTCGGTCTTGTCCCACAGGACCTGCAGGCAGGGGCTGATCCAACATCTCCACATCAGGATGTTGGGGAAGGTTGTACAACCGACAAAGGTCACAAATGAGTTTTTTCAATTGCTGCAAAAGCTACAGAAGATGAACCACAAAGACAAGAGGATACAGAATTAGATAACCCAGTCAAGATTACAAACAGCTACACAGCACACACATGGCAGATGTGACAGACATGACATGAATGCAGAACAGAAAGTTATACAGTATATTATGTGAGTGAACTTTCATTGAATCAGTTGCATTTTGCAACCAAAATTATTTAAGGTGTGACTGATGTTTTTCAAAGGTCACACTGGATGAGACTGCAAAACAAACAGCATATGCACAAACTATGCTCTCAATGTAAAAATAGTAGACAGACCTAACAAGCTCCACGATGCTGTCATCACAGTGTTTATCTGCAGGCCTGTCACTCGCCCATTTCATGAGGCAGAGACTTCCAATCTATCACACTGACTCTGAGACACACGCATCATCCCTGGACCCTTTTTTTTTTTTTTTTTTTTTTTTTTTTTTAACTTCCAAGTTTTTTTTTTTCTTTTGGGCACCAGACAGCTGCATAAATCGGGTAGATCACCTGTTAGCCTGTTTGTGTGTTGGAAACTTTTTACTTGAATTCATCGGCTTATACTTCAGTTGAAATATTACAGCCTAAACTTATTGTCATCATTATGGTGACTGCTAAGCTACAAAGCACTAAGTGGTATGGGCCTCCAACATTAGGTGAGAGAAAAACAGTATTTCGATTTTTCTGTATGTCCTACAAATATAGTGAATTGACAATAAAAATCTTTGATCTTGATCTAAAGTGACTAATCATAAAACGAGGTGGAAACTTGTTCCAGAAGTGATCTTTTCATTTATTGTGCTCCACAAATCTCCCTCTCTCTGAATTTCAATATAAACACAGACTATGCACATTGGACGGTAGGGTAAAATAATTTATGGAAAACACAGATTCTTTTGCATTAAGTTGTAAAACAGAGGTCGTGCCACCAAATCTGCCATTGGCACCACCATCTGAGAGGCGCCGGTGTCACTAGTATGAAATGTTAGTCTGGAGCCCTGTTTGAATATCAAAGGTTTCTGGAAGCAAAAACAGTGAATCGTAATTGTGCAAGACAAAAGAGGGGAAATGGCAACATCATTCATCAAGCAGTGCATTCTAAATGCAAGTGTGGAATTATGTAAAAACTTCCACAGTTTCAGATAATTATGCATGACTTCAAGGTAAAGATTTAAACACCAAACACATTGCAGTGGTACTGCAAATAAACACAGAAAGACACTTCTGCATTGATATAAAATGAGCTACCATCAACTAGTATGTTCTGCCTCTGCAAATTTGGCGCAACTGAACTATAGGGTACTGATACAACATCTGCACAACTAAGAAACGGGACTGATCTAATCTATCCACACGAAGTTATGGCTTGTCCTTTACCTAACATAAAAAGCTTTTTTTTTATCTGAATGTAGACAAAGTTATAGTAAAATCAAAAAATATTTTATCCAATAAAACTGACAGCACTTCTATTAAAAGCATAAGGTGTCCTACAAACAGAGCATGCAGTATGACTAAGTAGGCTAAGCTCAGCATGTCATCACATACATAGGATTACATAAAGAGCTGCTTAGCACAGAGATTTTGACCTCAAAGGTTGATCAGATGATTTAACAATATTAACATTTGGCCCGCTGAAACCTGCTTGCCTGTCCATGCCAGGTTAGATGTGTTTATCCCATTCCCAAAGTACAAAGTCACACATATTTATGCACAACATGCAAGCTGTTTGTTTTCGCTGGGCAGCCCATATGCAAACTGGAATAAGCTCCTTGTTGTGTAAATGTTAGAAATACAACACGAAGATGGAAAAACTCATGGAACCTACATCAATGAACTTGTCAAATAATCTAAATATCTTAAAAGAAAAATGCAAAATATGCTTGAGGACAAAAACTTGTGCTGTCTAAAATACTGACATAAAAATGAAATTTGTGTACCAAGTATTTAACACATCTTCAAAATAGGGGTGCACCAAAAGATTATTCAGGACCATAATTATCTGTCCCTTCTGTTCAAGCTCACCACAGCAGGCTGGCATTATGTCAGAATAAGGCAAAGAAAACGCCCCTGCTGGGCAGCAGCCTGGCCATTGCTTGTTTGGCCAAAGCTGCCAGTTAAATCAAATCAAATACAGCCTTTTCATTTAGGTACACACCATACATACATTATACATGCAATGGCTTAAGTTACATCTACTCTGCCAAATCAGGATACTTTAAGAACGAATCAGCTGGATATCAAAAGATCTGCTTTGTTTTGTATAAAGTATTCACGGTGCAAGTTTTACAAAGCCTAGTGTATGTGTCAAGCAATATTTTGGATGTCAGTGGTTTAAATGTTAACCTTCACTATAAACTGTCCACATATAAATGTGTACAACTTAATAAACACTTTAAATTGTCAGCAGCTCCTCACAAAATGAACCGAAACCGTGTAAGTTTTCCTTTATAACACAATGTGAAACAGAAAACTCGGGATAACTACCAGGGTGCTGCCTTTTCTCACATCTTCCAGTCTCTCCAAAACTTGCGCCAAGCTCGGGTCATCAGAGTCCACAAACCATATTGGCGGCGTAGATGGATAAGATTCCTAAAGACAGTGGAGTACAACAAAAAACGACAGTTACAGCAACACATTTGACCTACATAGTTAAGTAACGCAGAGTTAAACACAGTCAGTAAATAACGTAGCTGGGTAAAAATTGGGTTGAGTAGTGATGGCTAACATTGTGTAGTGATGGCTAACAGCTAGGACTGCTGATCAACACTGTTTAATATCGGACTGTCAGAACAACACACTCCCTGCTGAGAATGCGCAGCTCTCACAGACACTGGCTAATTCAAGGAAAGAAACCTGCCCCGCATGTAATGAGATTGCACAGTTGTAGAGGTAGCTGTTACCTGGCTAGCAAGCTAACAGCTAACTTTAGCGCGCTAACGACAAACAAGGGAAGTGTATAAATCCCGGTACCTGTGCTCCTGTCCGCTTACCGTTATATTACAGTGTATGATTAACAGCTTTTCCCCAGTTACATTAAACTGGCAGCTCAGCTCGTCGGGCTTCCAGTCAATGATCCTGAAACGTTCGTGGTTTGGATCAAAAATGGACTCCAAAAACTTCAGTTCGGCCTTTAGCCCCGACACCGACATCTTCCACGCATCTCCGGCTGGGCCGCTGGGGAGGGGAGAAGTCGGGACTTTGCTTTTAGCTAGCTAAAGCCACACCACGAATTTTGGCACAAAAAGTGGCAAATATACGACGGACTGTCCCAGTAGATGCAGCTGGATGCCCAGTGCCAGCTACAAACAGCGCCTGGTCAAATTTCACCGGACAGATTTGCTAATGAAGTAGCTAACGTTAGCTAGCTCACAGTTAGCATTTGAAAACATTGCAGTGCTCGGCAAGATGCTAGCGAGTTAGTCCGTTGTTGTGGTCTTTCCGTCTATTGTTGTTGTCTTCCTATGATAACAACATCTTAAGGCTCTCGCGGTGTCCCGTGACCGTATCTTCACAGTCCCATCGGACAGTTCCTTAAAAATTACTTAGCCATGAAATAAGCACAAAATCTCCACGACACGAACTTATATCCCACTATAGGAATAGTGTTTTTCATCCCAGTGCACAACTGTAGCTGGCCTCTTGTGGGGTTTAAAGATGGCGTTGTGCGATCTGCCAATCTGCCCGTTCCCGCAGAATCCCAGCATTCAGCGCGTCCTCAATTAATTTGATGGTAAGAAAATAAAGGAAAATTTACAACATGGAATAATTTTGTTAAACCTTTGTGCAGCAGAGTATTTGGAATGTGATTTTAATTTGTTGTAAGGGAAAAGAATCAGTTTCCTGGTTCAGATATTACATTTCTGAGTAGAATGCATTCACACAATTTACTAGAAGTGGCCCCTTCTATTAATCTTTTGTGCTCTGGTACCACCGAGACGATTGAAATGATTTAGATTAGGTTTCAGTGAAAATGATGTTTGATCAGAAAGTTGGATTGTGGGCTACTTAACATTTTAACTCAGCGTTAGTGTTCATAATCAAATGCAAACATCTTTTCAATCTTTGTGTTGACTTACAGAAATATATTATGCAAATGGGCAATAACTTTTGTTTTTTAATATGACAAATCCATGGCTATATCAGGGATACTGATACTATTTTAAAATGTGGCTTGATGAGAGCCATGTGTCACGATTATTATGATGTAAATACATAATCAGCGTGCCCCTTCTGAACACATTTTCAGTGCCACCAAATTCTTTCCCAAGCATTATGCATTACTTTTACTAGAGTATTCTCTATCACTTAATTGTATACATGTTAAAACACAGAACTGTTTCTTAGGGTAATTATTAGACGTCTGGCTACTGGGTCATTTTGCCCTTGTGCCTCATCCCCCTTCAGTCTGCTTCAGTCTGAATGAGGCTATTGTATATGATTCCAAATAATCTTAATCAGAATTCTGATTTGTAATGTTAAGTCGTCATTTATAGATTAATGTACCAATAATATACATAATAGCATGGAAAATGAGGAATATGTCCAAGGGTGCCCAGCTAGTACAAAATAGTCCAGCTTGGAACGTTCAGCTGGTGCAAGCCACCTCTAATGTTTATTAATCATTACCAGGGTACCTGTGTGAGCCCAATCATCTGATCTGTGTAAGTATATTATCACTCAGATTCTGCTGTGTATGTGGGTGTGTCAGTGTCTTTGTATGGTTATGTGAACACATTTTATTTTGATACCATTGTTGTGAGGACATTTAGGCATTGTGAGGATAGTGTATCTGGTCTTCACAACTTCAGAAAGCTGTTTAAGATTATAGAGTTGGGTTTAGGTCAGGTTAGAGTGTGAGCTGTAGTTAGGAATTTAGTTATGATTGTTAAGGCTAGAGTGAGTCTCTAGAAAATAAATGTAAGTCAATGTCATAAATACTCACAAATGGCAACTCAGCCCAACTTTTATTTCCCCACTGCTTTATGTATACTGAGTTGTGAAAAAAATCTGTTTTGTTCACAGGGATCCGGGAACATAACATGTTGTAGTCTACATGTACATTTCCCCACTAGGAACATCAAACATCATACTGTATATTTATGAACCAGATCCATTCTGTAATAGCTCTTGGTACCACTAGGGGGTAGTGTTGCCTAAACATTTGAACAACAGGATTCGAATTAGTGCAGGGTACATACTGTATATACAGTAGTACATATTCTATTGCTGGTTGTTCTCTGCTAACTGGTGATTAATATGATTACACGAATATCTGCTTTGTTCATAATTATGTATTGTTTACATTTACATGTATGTAATGTTGTATGTTACTGTCAATTTTGAAAATAATTCAGACAGGCTGAGAGCCAGACAGGCTCAATGCCAGGGAGTTGGCACAAAGTCCTTTTTGTCCTTGAATTCAGTTACACAGATATACAGCAACTCACTCAAAGAAGTTTGGTGCTCTATGTCTAATTTAGCCATACAAGATGTTAGTTTCAGTACTTTCAGATCTTGTGCTACATTGCAGTTTGAGGTTTTAGTGTTGAGAAATAGAATATGGATTTTCCATTTTATAGGCCCATCAATTAAAAGGGTGGAGGTGGTTGACCTTACTGTCCAAACCTGTGCATGCCACTGGTGATGTGGATGGAGCTCCAGCTGTAGGCCTGAGCCTTATGTGAACAGTGAATTAGCCCTTGACAGCATTCACATATAAACATGTCTGACTCCTCACGCCTTAAGCCACCCTGCCACTTATAAATAGTATGTATGTATGCTGACAAGTTTTTAGGCTCACTGTGCAGAATACTGCAAGTGTGCAATAGACTATAACACCCTACCTGAACCAACTGAAGTGAGGTCATGGATTTTGTTAATGTAATGGATCCTTATGAAAGGTCAGGGTTCCAGACTAGCAAAGAGTGTAATTCATTTTTGGAGGAGGGTGTGGGGAAGTAGGGTGGGCTGAGACAACAGGCATAAAATCAACAAGGGCTGATGTGGATAGTAAAAAAGTGCCTAACCTCTCTTTTTCTGACCCAGTTATTTTTGTCTTTGTTTGGTAATGCATCTGTATTAATGAGTGTGAGCTGCCTCGGCATGTGTACTGATGTGCATATGTGTTTGTTTTGTGTTTCTGCAATGAATAACGACATTTAGAAGTTAGGATTTTTGGTACTGTACTTTAGGTCGCAGAGCTTTGCATAGAAATGAGTTCTGTTAGTTCAAATTATAATATCACAGCCTGCCTCTGTGAAGATAGACTGACACAGAAAGACATGAAAATAGTTACCTGCAGCATTTATGAGTGCCATGCAGGAGCCGAACGTAATAATAAGCTTGGTAAGATCACTTGATTAAAAACCCTTAACTCATTTTTACTAGACTTTCTATGTTTAATTCCACAGCCGATAAACCTGATCAGTAAGTATAAAAATAAATATCTCTCCAGGTGTTGTGAGTTACTTTTTAAATCTTTTACATACAGTACTTCCATCACTTCCACTTCTTTTAACTGTCACACTGGAAAAAAAAATACATAAATAAATAAAATTTAAACATTTTATTTTATAGATTTTTCCTGTATTTGCAACATACATGGAAATGGTGATAAAATTACAAAATTATACTGTAAAATTTCATAACAAAACAAAATAACAGGAAAATCCTGTAGCTGCGAATTAAGTTTTGTATCTTTTTTACAGATCTTCCTTTTTCAGATAAAAAGATAATAGTTACAATTTCATAATAATTTTACAAATATTTACCATTTACTGTTTTACAATTTGAACTAGCAGACTTCCCAGCATGCAATGTGAGCAAGTTAAAACTCTCCAGTTTCTCATTTTTTTCCAGTTTGACAAATCCATTCATGGTGGAAACCTATTGTGTGTGGAATACATACTAAAGTAAGCCTAGGTTGATATTTGTCATATAAAAAATGCAAACCATGATGAAGGTACTGTGGTATGAAAGATATGGTATTTGTTTTATCATTTTTATAAAGGGAAAAATTCCCAGGCTTTTTTTCTTGTTATTTTACAGTGCAGGTTCATTTTGTAGCTGCTGACCTGTGTTATTCAGGTTGACTTCTCAATAGTAGGTTAAATCAGTAGTATCCATTCTTCTTGTTATGTAATTACTCTTCAATGGTTGCTTACTGAAGAGAATGTGTTGATGGATTGTCCTCAACAAGTAGCAGCTGTTTAGGTGTCATGTTATAGCAGATAGCAGTTGTATAACATCCTGCCAAAGGCAGTAAAGCCACCGTGCATTGTGTTGCCCTAACTGACAACTACTTGCAGACTGACTACCTGCTCTTAGATTAATTACAGCACCGTTTGACCTTCATTAAAATTTGACAGGTAATTAATCGTGCATATTGTATATGGTTTTTCATTGATTGCACCTACAGCTTTATACCCATTTCACTCATGAAACTGAGATAGAAAAATGAGAAACTGACTGTTTAGTGTTAGATTTATGTGTATGTACATATACTGTATATGTATAAATACATATTACAGTATATATACTGTATACATATGGAGTATACGTACATACTGTATAGAAAGTCACTTTCGGCTTTTCCCGTTTAGGGGTCGCCACAACAAATCATCACACTGATGACTCACATGTTGACATTTGGCACGTGTTTTACGCTGGATGCCCTTCCTGACGCAACCCTGATTCGAGCCCGGGCCGCAGCGGTGAGAGTGCTGCGCCTTAGCCACTAGCCTACCAGGGACGGCCATACTGTATATGTATATAAAATCATTTTGGCAGAGTATGTATAGGGATATCACAAAGGCATACTCAGCCTTTAGCAGGGGTCAGAACAAACAAAAACAAATGTCGGTCGAATCCTGATTGTCCTTTCTGCCTGGTTTTATGATTGAGCAGCCAACATGTATTTTGCCACAGCGTGACTACATACACAATAATAAAGGGCAGATTGCCATGGTCCTCGCTGATTTACCCTGCTCCTCTGCCCTCCATCTGCACGAGATGAAAAGTTAATTAAAACCCTTTCTTGTCTCTTCATTCCATCCCAGACAGCAAGAGCAAATCATCTTCCACCCTTTCCAGCCTTTATTATTTCTTTATGAACAACACCAGAGCTGAAGTCTAAAGGGGGAGCATCGAGACACTACATGACTTCTTTTCAGTTTGACCTTTAACCTCATTATAAGACAAAAACACACTACACACACAGCTGTTAGCATGTTTTATTTCATCCCATATATTTACTCTCTTGCAAATTGTTGTGTATAAATAAGACTTAGCACTTTTCCTAATTACACTTTTAAACATCTTGCTTTTATATTTTCTATGGATACATGGAATTAATCATACTGCAGAAGTGACAGTAAATCAATAAAACCTCCTTGCTCGGCTTCACAGAAGAGTGCATTGTAATTTGTGATGACAAGTCCAGTTCATTAGTCCACTCAAACTGTCTGAAGTCAGGAGTGTTAGTCAGGTGAAGTGTTAAAATAGCTGCATCTATCCTACGATGTTGTCTTGTAAGGATTCGGAGGTGTTTAGATCTTTAGCTATGGATAGCTGAAGCCATTCCTCAACCGCCTACACTGCTGATTCACCACATGCAGCAGGGCAGTTTGTCACAGGAGACAGCACCATTTCTACCAAGGGGGAGCAATATTCAATTTTCTTCTGAGGAACATTAAACATAGGAACAGAGACAGA